TAGTTAGCGTGCCAAGGCCCTTTAGGCTTCGTGCCTCCGGGCGAAATAAATTCCATCCATCCATACACCAGTCTTGCAAACGGCTGCGGGCGGACAGGCAGGCAGGCGCGTAACTACGCAATGTAGTATAGTATATATTGACGGCAATTTGGACTGTATCTGGCAGCTCCTCCATGCCGTTTTACAGCCCTCTATCTGTAAATATATAACTTCAAAATTGTCTGCAGTTGCGCGCCTGTAGACAAGGGTCATATATGCAGATTGGGCTGCGACATGGCGGTGTGGACGCCGCTTGCGGCTGGGGTTGCAAACGGCAGGTGTGCCTTTGTGGTTTATCCTTGAAGAGCAATAAGGAGCAGATTCCTCATAGTGCAGCCGATTGGTGCTGTGCCACTTGAAAGCCAGGCGACTGCCAAGGCATTTTGTTCAGCTGAGTTATGTAATTACATAGATACATAGATTTAACAAACGCCCACTGTTATAGTACAAATAAGTTGGTACCCCCTTTTTGCGTGCTCAAGGCACTTTGCCCCTAGGCGCTCCTTGCTAGGTCTCTTACCTCCGTACTACCCGTTCCGTCAACGGTCACCAAGTGCTGCCACACCCAACGAAGCTAGCCGCTCGAGTGAGTAAGATGAAATGTACCGGTGCTGAAATCCATCGCTAATCGGCTTACCCAAGAGCCAAGAGGTCTAATATGCCGGTCTCCTTAATACTCGAGCCGGCCGGTTTCGCCGTGCCTCCCGGACCCGCCGTAATCTACGTCAGGATCGACGGAGAGGCGCTCTCCAACATCTTGATTCCTCCATGAGCCGCCTCTTGGACTCCGACCGCTTTTCGGCTGTTTCTAGCAGGGGGAAAGGCGCTATCGAGTACGTCCGGCACCAGCTAAGAGATATCCTCTTTGGCGACGACATTGCACCCTCTGTTACCCGACATGGATACCGCATCCTGATTTTGCAGTCACATGCGGATCCGATCCACTCCTTCAAACCAAGTACGTTGGCTTCTACTGGAAACGGAACATTGCAGCTGAAGAGCCTTCTATAGCTCTCGTGGAACTGACATCTGAGTCGCAGCCCATCGACAACCATCTCAGATTCCACGCTATGCAGGTTACTAATGAGCAGTACAAGCTGCCATCCTTCATGACACCTTTGCTGGTGAGGCTAGCTTGGAGGCCGCTAATAATAAACTTCAGGACCAGACTCAGGCTAGGGCTTAGCTTGGAACAGGCAGTAAAACAGTCTTTCAAATTACACGTGTCATGAACTCTGCTTCGTCGGTGTATTGTCACAGTTAATCTTCATACTTTGTTCTAAGGCAGTGTTTCACGTAGAGTGGCAGATAAAGTAATGGTGGAACGGCCTATATCCCATCCGTTTCTAGAACAACGGCTATCAACACCTACATCCTACAAGATGAGAAGATTGATCCTCCCGAGGAAATGACCAGCACTTTAGCTTGAGCCACTCAACTCTCTCTTCTTGGAAATCCATCGCCGAATTTACTTGTGTACCGCCATCTCAGCCGTGCTTCTCGCCACTGCTTCGAGGGGCCGAACTGCCACTGCTTCGGGTGCCCAACCGCGATCCTCCGCTATACGCTCGGCACGGCACTGAGCCCCGGATGAATTTCGTACTGTCCGGCGTCATAGTACACTACCCGCCGCAGTCCACGCCCGGAAGGAACCTATCTGAAACGACAGCACCACAGCCAGATTGCCGGCTCTGTTTCGCAAGCCAGCTGAAGCTGGCGCTGTCAACGAAGTAAATGTCCGCATCATGTGTAACGGTCTCAGGTAGTATATTGCAACTAGCTGATGACGACTTTAAGAGTACACTGAACTTGGAGAAGAAAAGGAGAGACGACAGACTCTGGTAGCTCGCAAGCATACTTATCCTCGTAGGCGCGCTGGTCTGAGCGCGTTGCTAGAAGGTTTGGTGTGCTGTGGGGCGAGTGGGAATAGCCTCATCAGGGGTCTTGGTATTGGCCGAGAGTCGCCGAGGCTCGCACCGGGCCTAGCCCGTTACATCATGGACGGGACATTCTGCGGTGCCGAGGACCATGGTCATTGTCCAAATCTTGCGGGCGAATGCTCGCAGCGCCCGCTCGAGAGCCTCGGCGCAAATCTGACACCGGGTGGAAGTATGCTCGTGCTACGAGCATCCCTGCGTTTTGAGTTCATCAAAGACATTAATATCTGCAGGGGAATAAAGCATACTGTACGCCCAGCCAGATCGGGTTGTTATCGGCATGTTGGCGCTATGCCTCTTATTAGCATTCTTCCTTTTGTCGTTCACATCCCTCTCGACCTTCAACTTAAGCTGGGATGGTCCTTATATCGATCTTGAGTTCAATGTCGCCTCCACCGATTTCCAAAGGGACCTAGACCTGGACAGTGGTGCCGATGCCCACTGAGCTCTTGACAGTGATAGTCCCGCCGAGGCTATTCAGCAGCTGATAGACGAGGCTCAGGCCGAGATCTATGCCGGTAGCATAAGTATTCTAAAGGCCGGAAGAGTCGGTATTGAATACAATCGGAGCTTATACCTATGCCAGTGTCTTCCCTATGAAGACAACGTGGTCGACATCACGGTGGCCCTTTTGCTATCTTTCTTTGTGGCCACTTAAAGTGAAAACTCGATACGGCCAGACCTAGTATATTTTGTAACGGGCTTGGCCCGTAAAGGCCTCGGCAAACTCTCGGCCAAGACTCGAGATTCGGTGGACTTCTATCTTGTTCGATATTGGCGCACAGGCCAAGGATGTGGAGGATAAGACGGCAGGTATCTTGCATAGTGTTTCACTCTTTTTCTTCTTCTCTTCCATTCGAGACAAACTCGTAGAGTCGTTACCAGCTAGTTGCAATACACTCCTGGGACCGTAACATATTTCAGGGTACTTCCCAATAGGTTTATAACGATCCGCTTCTGGGGCCCACTATCGATACCTAACTAGCGACGGAGCCTTCTTTCAATGGTGATACTGATGAGCGGCACGTTATAAGCCGGAGGGGTATCCAGTGCAGGGCCTATAGATAAGGGGTCTACAGTATACGTCCACTTCTAAATTCGCGATGATCGGACGGCGGCCTTAGATAGGTGGCTAAAGTGAACTTTGTAGCGACTTACGGTTAATCTAGCCTGCATTTCCGGCTGCAGTTCCTGCACCTCAGATCCTTTCCACAGACATCATATGGAATCACCCACTTCTCATCCCGCACATCAGCCACTGGCAGCCTGTCACCTCTGCATCATTCCATGCGCTACGGTATGCAATGCTCTGCGATATTGATGGAACGTTCACGCCTGGAGTGCTACTTGATGTTGCATCCAGCCAGCAACACGTTCACCGACTTGGTTTTTATCACAGTAAGGCTTCAATATCTTCCAGGTGGCACATACAGCGCGTTAGATGATCAGGGCTAACTCTTGCAATGGATACCCCTGCAGCCCGTTACTACTGGACAACTACTCGAACGCTTCTCGGGTGGGATCAGTCGTGGGGCAGGGGCATTGAAGAACTGACCGCCGGGATGCAAAAACCCCCGAGTGTCGGCAATCCGAATCGAAGTGCGTCTTGTGCACGCGTCCGCTGTCTCGTTCTCGGTTTTCAAGAGCCTCTGCAGTCAGCAATGCAGGTTAGCGTCACGGTGCTAAAGGACTGATGCATGATCTCGGCGAGCTATTGCTCGGACGCCACATCAAGAGCGGCAAAACTGAGGTGAGGCCCCGCAAGAACCAATGACCTTTATGTGGGTTCTGTTACGTGGGTCAATACCTAAAGGGTCTGTTGATTCGATGTTCAGAACCCTCAGACAGAGCATGGTCGTCTGGCCGCCAAGATGCCGGTTGAATGTTAGTGCTGACCGGCAGCTCTACACGCGCATGTCCAAGACGTGATTGGAGCTGAGCGATTACCGTTTAGGGTATACTTGTTACCGGGGGTGTCGGACTACGGTCCACCGGGACGATGCGGAATACCTGGACATAATTATATATAGTAGTGAAATCCCCGCTGTTACCCCCCCAAGTTCAAGCACTGGCTCACTCAGACAACTCCAACTCAAAGCCAAAGAGCCCAGTCGAAATGGTCAAGACCGCTATTACGCTGGCCGCCCTGGCCCTGGCTGCCTCGGTGGCTGCTCTCCCCGCCGCAACCTCCCCAACCACCTTCTCCTTTGCGCAGTGGGTGGAGGACATCATCGCCAACCCCGACACGGCTCTCACCGTCGACGAGGCCATCGCAGCGGCCAATGAAGCTGCTATAGGCGGTTCCGCAGGTGGCCTTCAGAGGAGAGTTTGGTGCGATCAAGATTGGCCACGCGCACCTGTACGTGGTACCCTTAGGTCAAAAATGCTTATACACGTTTGTAAAACGGACTTGATGCTGACATGTTGATGGTCATATGTCTCAAGGGACGGGATGCTGCGGCCTGTGTTGACTACCTTGCCCGCATCGGCCGCGACGGCGTCACCTGCGCCATCCCATCTAACCGTATGTTGATCCCCGGGTGGTTGATTGGTCGGGGCCTGCTTTGCAATGATTAACCTTTTGTTGAACAGGGTTTGATATTCAGATGTGCCGTATCGGTGGCGCACAGATTGCCGCCAGCCGGTCGACCCAGCTGCCACAGCCGGTAAACTGGTGAGTTGATTCTCTAATCTCAAGTTGCCTCTCGTCTTGGTCTCGTTCGATGGAAGTATACTAAACTGATGTACGTAACTCTTCAGCAACGATGTTGCTCGCACTGCAGGACTTATCTTTGACAGTTGCTGGCGAGCCGACGATACGATCATTGGCTCTGAGATCTGCATTGCGGATAGAAGGATGCAGATCAATATTCTCGGACTCTGAGGCAGAGTCTAGGGGTTGCTGGCATCCGGCTGACGTTCACATTTCCCGGACCGTTCCGTCCTCCAATGAAATGGAAGAGGCTCAGAAAGTCCCAGGGGAGATTTATACGGCGAAATAGGACATACCATATAGCCAAACTCTTGGATAATGTCAGCAGCCCGTCATTGACAGCTGCGTAGCCAACGAAAGGCCATTGCCTCGTCGAGGCAGACTCGCTTAGACTATCAGACAGGATAATCTGGCAAGAATTTGAGCTGATTGCTACGGACGTCAAAGATGCATGCTCATCAGTGGAGACTGCAATTCCTATAAGCTCAAGCAACACCAAAGACAAGGCAGACCCCTGAGCGCAGTGAGTAGCTCAATGTTGCTTTGGTCGACTTTCGGCTCTGGCTATAGACACCGACATGTCGGCTCTTGCAGTTGAGGGGATCAGCGACCTAGTGTTTGGGTCACGGTTCCCAGACTTCCTCGCCAGGGAGTCACCATGTGACCCTGAAGTCCTTTGTTCCATTTGCCAGACTCCAAAAACTATCGACAGAAGGGGTGGTGAGCAATACTATCGAAAATATCGAGCCACGCTATTCAAGGGGATAGTCTTGTCCTCGTTCAACTACTCCGGATGTGTGGTGGAGCGTGGCAAAGAAGTGATGCCATGCACGTCCACGAAGTTAGTTTTATGAGATGCTTTGAAACTCGCATAAGAAATAGTATTCTATTGTAACATAGTTAGTTACTCTATTCCCACACCCCAAGTTTTGCAGGGCAGCAAGACGGAAGCGCCTCACGGCGGTGCAATTATCAATGACGTACAGGCGAGGACAGCGAGCATGATACATAGCGAGGAAGACAAGGATTCAGGAAATGGGCGAGGAGACGAATATGTGGCTTCCGTTCCGGGTCAAGCCCCGCCGGGTGGAGTCTGACCGCTTGCTGCCAAGACGGATCGGTTGCGCTGCGAGAATCACAGCCAGTCACCCTTGCTGTTGCGGAGCCGGAAACGGCTCCAGAAGGCCACCACCACACTGCTTGTTACCGTCATGCTCCAAGAGTGGCTCTAACACGCAGTCATCCGGCAAGTGGGCAGTAGATATTCAGGGATCGTGTCCGGCATCACCGCTATGTCTAGAGCCAAAAACGGCTTTGCAAAGGCAGCAAGGGCCATTACATGAAATTCCTGGCTTCGTCAGAGCCGGAAACAGCTTCTCCAATGCACAACAACACGCTGCTTGAATGGGGTTAGAGAGTATTCTAATCCCGCATCTAAACGAGCTTTTCCTATTAATTCCGGCTCTGGGCAAAGATAAGATTCCTCGCACATTGCAAGGTTACTATGGTACTGGGAATCTCCACTAACCGCTGCCGTAGTAGAGCGAGAATTGGCTCTTAACGTGAGTACGGTCAACTTCCATCTTTTGTCTCAGCCAGGCGTGATTGGCCAAGGGAGAGTTCTCAACTTCGTGTCACGGATTACCCAACAGCAGGCCGCATGTCGGAAAGCCACATGGGGGGCGTAGGGAACGCCGGAGCCAATCATTCGAGGAAGCAAGGTTGACCAGTCAGGACGAGGCTAAGGTGTTATCACGCCAAGACAGATGAGCACATTGCAGCATGCAAGATGCTCAGGGAGTCGGGGATGCCGGACATGATCCTGCCGGCTAACCATCCTCACAGAACACACGTCCATACGGCGAGCAGTGAGGTTGTTCAGTGCAAGCTTGGATGGAGTAAAAAATTCCCGGGCACACTAGCCACGTTTGCACTGGGATTTTGGCAAGATACTTGAGAGTATCCTGGATACGAACCTCCATCTTCAATAATCATAGGGTTCGAATGTGGGCTTCAAAAGTGGTAGTTTTGTCGAAGATGTCGAAAAAGCGGCCTGGTGTGGCCGCGTCGAACACCGACCTGCCTTGCGGTTCGTTGGCTGGCCCGAAAAAAAGCGGGGCGCGTTGGAGGGTGCCATGAGTATATAATACGGATTGCTTGGCTCACTAGTCTTTAATCCGAAGTTGAGCCGGTTGAAAAGTTAGGCAGACAACACTGCCAGCCCCGCCCAGGCTTCGCGCCTCCGGGCGAAATAAATTCCATCCATCCATCCAGCCCCGCCCAGAGCTCTGCCGAAACACCATTCAACCCACTCCGATACATTGCCCTCAAAGCTTGCATAGCTGTAGGCTCCATTCTACTGGAACATACCTTTTATCCTCTCAGATACAATGGCGGAACTTCTTCGGCTTCCTAACGAGTTGCTGGCTATCATATTTGAGGGGCTAGACGCCCAAGGCTTCTCCGCCCTCCGGTTGACGTCCAAACATGCAAAATTGGCTACGTTGCCAGCTTTCATCAGCCGGTACTTCCATACCCGCTACATAATGCTCTCAAGGCTCAGCCTCGAAAACCTCGTGGAGATTGCGCGACATCCAGACTTTGGGCCTGCTGTGAGAACACTAGAACTCTGTACGGATCATTTCGTGGAGTTCCCAGATTCAAGCTCTCATATTGCACGGCATGAAGGCGACATATTATTGGCCATACAAGAAGGTCGATGCCGTCCCGCAGTTTTAGTGGACAGCATAGATGATGCATACTCATCCGGCGAGGAGGAGGACCAAAGCCTTGGGGACGAAGGTAGGGAGACCAATGAAGGGAGTCTCTCGTCTCAGGGCTCGTATGAGGCGCCTTTGGATAAGGCGGCTTATACGTCACTGTGGGAAGAGCAGGAACACATAATCATGTCCGGTCTTGCGCAGGCCTACATCACGCAGGCGCTGATTTTTCTTCCCAACATCGAGGCTGTCGTCATTAGCAACATGCACCGGCCCTGGGGCGCACTAGCGCATGGCCGACAAACAGGTCTACCGCCAACAAACGCCCTGGACATTTACGAGGAGGTTCCGTTCCTGGGCCAAGTCCTTCGCATCACCCTTACAGCCATCGCTACGAGTGGTGCCGCTCTTAGCAGCCTTGCCATCACAGCTGGTCTCCTCTCTAGGGCTGGTGTCCTCTATAGGGAGGCGATTGTGCCAGACATTTTCAGACCGTCGGAGTCGCATCTCCAATACTACAAGAACCTTCCTCCAAGCCTCACGGAGCTCACACTCAATATATCCGCCGATGCAACGACGGGCGCTGAGGACCGATGGGCGGACGACTTGTCAGCATTTATCGGTGTGTTTCGACAACTCACACAACTGGATCTGGTCATCAAACCCGTCGACTTCGGCCCACAGGTTAACCGGTTAAAACAGCTCGCACCGAAACTTCAACTACCGAATCTACAATGCCTAGGGCTCTATAGGGCATATTGTAGCGTACAGGATCTTGGGGTTTTCATCGCGAGGCACAAAGCAACACTCCAAAGCGTTACTTTGGTCCGAGTAGGAGTTTCGGGTGGAATTGGCCACTGGAGGTCTTTGTTCGCTCAGATTCGTGATCATCTTCCAAAGCTTGAGTTATCCATCAAACAATGTACTGCAGGGGGGCTTGCGCTATTGTGCCGAGGGGAACACGAAAATGGAGAGGAGTTTGAAGATTGTTTTGATGTCGGGGGTAGTCACGAAGCCTGGACGACGGCAATTGAGTCGATAGAAACAAGATAGATGCATTGCAAGGATTGTCTGGCTATTTAAAGTTCAGAGCCTATTGCCAGCGGCACTATTTCCCTTGTGAAGGGCATGATGCTTTACCTACAACCTCCTTTGGCCGCCTGCTCAGTCTGATAGGGGAGAACTCTTAGCCTCGGGAGAACTTGGCGTCACTTGATCCAGACGCCTCGCTCTGTTGTAACTCGGGGATTTCCGGAATCGAATCGCGATACTTCTCCCGCACGGTTGCTCTGCTTCCGTGGCACTAACCACATTCGATAAGCTGTAGAGAGGGTTGGGGAGGCTTCGAGAGGCTTGTGCTAGCCACCCTGACAAGCACCCACCCGGCCTGACAGACGAAGCATTGGGCCGTCAGTGCCTCTCCGCAGCTGCTGTAATGACTAAACCCGAGGCCACTGCATGACCAGATCACGGGGTCAACGCGTGACCCTGATTTATAGGTCCGCAGCTCGGTTTAATGCAAGGCTGGAAACAACGCAACGCCCTGCAACGCGCGTTGGGCCAACGCAAAGCAAAGCAATTCAACGCGACCGAAAAAAAGCTCAAATCAACGCAACGCGCACAACTGCGTTGCGTTGGCGCGTTGACCAAAAAAAAGTCACTTTTTAAAGCTCTTTAGAGCGCTCTAGGGATTGGAATAGCCGAAATTAAGGCCGCGGATTTGGGCTCTTTACTGGATTTGGAGTTGATACTCGGCCTCGACGTCAGGGGTAACGAGCATGGCTTCGGCATCGGAAAATTAGCCCACCCGATATAAATGGGGCCTAGCAATGCCTGCGCGTTGACCAGAACACTGCAATATTGGCCATTTTGTAACCGCCTTGCCACCGCTTGACGCCCCTAACATTAAGCTAATATTACTTGTCATTATATTGTAACTAAACAGCGCATACACAACCTCTTCCCAAATAAACTGGCCGACAAGTACAGACAACACTGAACCCTTGGATCTTTGCAAAATCGATCTTCTTTTCTTCTTTGAGGCACCTGGTGGAAGATTCTGTCTTTTCCAGATGTCTGGTGCGGCGCGCGGCGCTTCGACGTCATCGACGTCATGAGAGGCGATTCGGGATCCCCAGGAGTGGGATGTCGCCGCCCGCAGCGCAAGAGGGTGAAAACGAAAAGAGCGATGGAGTCAATGCAACAAGACAACGATATGGACTGGGAGGAAGAAAATAGTATTGAAAGAGTGTCGAGAAACCACAAAAATCGCACAGTTGGGGCCACAGCGGCCGAGAGAGCGGACGAGGGAATCCGAGGCGCAGAGCAACCCGCGGATCGTGACTTCAACAACAATTTGGACATCATCAAGGCAGAAGTTCAGATGCAATTCAAAAAAATCATAGCAGAGGAGGTCGCCAAGATGACGGCCCAGTTGACCGAAGAACTGTCGCAAGCGCGAGACCAGCTTACCCGAGCCTGCCGTGAGCTCGAGGACACTAGACTGCAGCTTCAAGCCATGAGGAGGCTCAAGAAGCCCCTTTGGTTTGGCCTGCATATTCGGACGTCGCCCGATGTACTCCTCCTGCCAGCATCCCGACCCCGGCCTCCTCCACAGGCCGAGCGGCGATGCCAGAACCAGCATTCTGCACGGTGGACATGACCAGGGTGCCAGAGGAACACATCGGAGAGGCTACACCGGTGGCCCTTCGCAAGCTCATCGAGAACGAAATGCGAGCGCCTGACGACCAACCCAAGTGGCGTTGCGTTGCCGTCACTAGAGACAGAGGAAACATCAACCGCATTAGGATCCTCGGCAGGAACGAAGAGGAAGTCAAGAAGATCAAGGACATTATGGAAGCGAAGAAGACGCCGGGCGCAAGAGTCCTTCGAGACCAGCTGTACCCTGTCAAAGTTGACAACGTCAATCGCACGGCTGTCATCGACCACGAAGGCAGGGTCCTTCCTGGAGCTACAGAAGCCTTGAGCCAGGAAACGAGGTGCAAATCGCCAAGATGGCCTGGCTGAGCCGAAAGGACACTGAAAAAGCGTATGGATCCATGGTGGTCTATGTCACCAAAGCTAACTCCTCTGTTCATGCTATCGGTGAAGCCCTCTCTCAGTATGGAGATGATGGAATTCTACACCCAGTGGCCTTCTTCTCCCGGAAGAATGAACCAGCCGAATGCAACTACCCGATCCACGATAAGGAACTTTTGGCTGTGGTGCGCTGTTTGAAGCAGTGGGACGCAGAGCTACGGAGTGTACCATCATTCGAGGTCTGGACGGATCATAAGAACTTCGAATACTTTCAGAGAAAACGGCAACTGAGCGAGAGGCAGGTCCGGGCGGAGATCCTTGCCCGGTACAACTTCACCCTGAGATATCGGCCTGGCAAAGAAGCGGCAGTCCCAGACGCCCTGGTCAACCGCAGTGCAGCTGTGGCGGTTCGAGTCGGTTTCGTCAAGAATGGTGACCAGGATAGGGAGACAGATGACGCAGCGGACATGTCAGATCCACCAGAGAACCCATTCGCCGACACCCCATTACAAGACCTTTGGCATCAGGGCTTGGAAGCAAACAACCGCTGCTGGCTTATTTGCAAGATGGTACTTGATGGCGAACGTCATTTCCCAAGCTAGTGGGGGTTGCCTATCTCAATCTCAGAATGCTTTATCGACGGAAAGCGGCTCTGTTGGCGGGACCGTATCTGGATTCCTTACTTCGAGCCCCTGCGCACCCGGATCATCCAAGAAACCTACGACTCGATTCTCGCCGGCCCATGGGCAAGTTGCCGGAGACCTTGTTTGAATGCGATGGTAGACGTGGCGACAATGCCCTCTGGCGGCGCACCGCGTGTGCCGACAGTGGTTGCCATGATGCTGGTCCGGGAAATTCCGATTACTGCAATTGATGCTCTGGATCAGGAGCTAGATCGTGTCATTGCGGATCAATCAAGGACGGCATTGAAGAGGGAGTTCTGAATGTTCTAGGGGCTTGGTTGGATTCCGATTTGAGTGTTGACTTTGCAGGGCCTGCAGATTCTTGCAAAAGAAACGGCGTCATCTCGTTGGTTTATGCCGTTTGCGAGTAGACGGCAGTTTCCCATTCTTGAAATAACGCAAACATTGCTGCACGATCCCGAGCAAAGATGTTAGTAGGCGTCCGTCTCAGACCTAATGTACACTGATCAGAGTCCTAAGATACGCCCTCAAGTCCAAATGTGCGACTCCAACTGAATCATGTAGTTCATGACACCCACCGCAAAATCCCCATGCTTCCTCATCACCCCCTCCATCCGCTCCCTCTGCTTGTTCTCCTTCATGCCAGACCCCACCAAACGGCAGACAATCTCGCGCATAGCCAAGTCCGTCGGCGGCGTCGTGCGATATAACTCATCAACCACGTCGGGGAAAGATTCGGCATCTCTCCATGTGATCTCCGCTGCACGGTAGAACCGTTCACGAGCCAGGAGCTTGAGTGCAGACACATCATACTTGTCAGCCATGACGTACAGGCGGAGGGGCAGATACAAGTCTTCCATGTCGACTAGCGCGGAGAGCCACTGGCTATATCCTTTCTCGGGGTCGGGCTCACTCTCTGCCTGCAGGAGCTTTGCGTAGAGCGGGCCAACCTCATCTCTGTCGCTACTTTCATCATCAAACTCGTTGTATTCCTCCTCGGGTTCTTCGGGTTGTGGCGGCTCATCGTCCGTGTGATCCAACCACTCCGACTCGGCGATGCCGTCTTCGGCCTGGTCATTGCCCTCTGCTCCACCCTCGGCGCCAGCGTTGCCTCTGCTTCTGGTGCCTCCGCTCGCGGGCAGGGCCGGGCTCTCAGCTGTATCATCGTCGTCTTCGTCGGGGGTGCCGGCAACGTTGACGCCAGGGAGCGCATGTAGTTCCTCGTTGATCTCGCCAGGAGACAGCATGGAAACTGGCACCAGTGTTGACCACGGATGCTTTTCAACGTCATATGTCCCGGTGTAAAGGAATTCCAGGAAGCGCTCCATGACGTCGGGGTCATCCTCTGGAAGGTTGATGATGCTCGTGGCAGCTTCCTGGCAGAATTGTTAGCTCATGGTCAGCGCTCCAGCAAAGACGGAATTATTTTGCACTCACAGAAAAGCCTCCCGTCAGTGCTTTGTCGAAAAAAGCCGACTGCGAGCAGACGATGGCACGGTGGGCCTTGAATACGCGATCGCCGCAGTGGATGGTCATATCGGAGAATTTGTCGGAGCCGAGGAGGCTGGACAGCGCTGAATAGATGGAAGTTAAGCCGAAGGCCTCAATCGCGTTGTTGGTTTTATCGCGGTGGTCAGCGCCTACCGAAGATGCGCGTGAGCTTGCCTCTGGTGGGGAATTATCAGCACCCTCGGGAATCTCCGGTGTGACTAGTGCTGACGCGTTCTGTTGAGAAGCCATTATTCGGATGTGCTTTTGAAGTTGAGCTCAGAAAATTGACAGTTGAAATTCCTTTCAATCTTGTTCCACCGCCTGGTTCTGACTTCGTGTGAAGGTCAGAGATCGGTTTCGCTTTAAGCTTGCGAACCATGAGTTGCCTGCGAATGGAACACTTATAAGACAAACATGTTAATGTTAAGTGGGACATGCAGGAGCTGTTGGCCTGGCGCACCCCTAATTTATGAATACTGGTCCCTTTCGCCCTGCCAGAGGGCTGCAGAACAATGATTGCCGCCAAACTCGAAGTCAACCTAAAGCCCCACAGCCATGCCAAGCAATGCAGGCACGCGTTCGGCGCATAACTTACAGATTAGTGCGTGTGATGAACGCAAACCTGAACCACTCGGCCACGCATACCTCCCAAAAGGGTGTCGAATTGCAAAGTCCCTCGGACTTGCAACTCTGGTGGCTCATGTACGCACTCACGGCAAACCCCGCAAGCCACCTGCCGCCTGCCGTAACAGTGCGCCCCGAACCAAAGGGGCCTGGGCTCTTGTCGCCTTGGAAAGCTTGGTGTGCAGTGGGAATACATGTATCTGATGTATATCCAGAGACAACAGAAGATGGTGATCAACAATGGTGGTGTATTCCATGCAGTGGTGATCCAGGATGTGTGATGGGGGCAGGGCTGAAACCCCTGCACCAGACGTGGGGCAACCCGGTCTCAAGGATGTGGGGCACCACAACAGTATCTCGTCCATGTATGAAGTACTGGTGCTTTTAAACATCCTAACTTGATTCAAAAATAGCGAACGAGAGAACCGGCTTAAACCATTTCTAGACTCCTCAGGCGGCGAAAAGAAACTACCTTACCTACCTAGCGACGCTGTGAGCGGCCGCCCAATGCAGGAAAACCTCTCAACTTTCTGCAATGCGGGTCTGCTACAGCCATTGCTTGTTTCGCCTATTTCGCGCCTACGCCCCGTTGCCGCCCTGCGCTCCTGTTGGATGTAACGGGCTACCTGGAACGAGCATCTGCAGCCGTCAGAGGAGGGGTCCGAATGTTTGCATATGCGGCATCGCAGGATTGGTTAGCACAGGCATTCGAGACTGTTGAGCCCAGGTCAGGTGCAGGATGAGGGGTTTGGCACTTCTGGATTTTAGAATCTCTGGCGCTCCCACATCTACAGGCAGGTCGGAACCACAGAGTTCCAACACGACACACACAAAAAACTGAACGAACCCTTCCAGTGCTCTTGCTCCGAGTGCCTTCCATCTGAAGCTCGTTGCCCGTTGCTCAGAAAGTGTTGTGGGTGGTGCCCCACATCCATGGCAGACCGGGTTGCCCCACATCTGGTGCAGGGGTTACAGCCCTGCCCACCAGAGCCATCACACATCCAGGATCACGACTCTTTGGAATCACCACCATTGATGATCACCCTCTTCTGTTGTCTCTGGATCTCCATCAGAAAGCGGTATCATCCAACAGCTCCCTTGCGCCTCTTGTGACGTCACCTTACGCCCCTTGCCCTTGGATTCCCGGTTCCAGGCGGCTTCGCTGCACACCTAAACCGCACCACCACGACATTGGCGAGGCTACTGCGGCTCTGGGCGTACTTTGACAACGAGGATCTGTGGTTCGAGCTGCTGCTCTGGTGGCGGTCGGGCGGTCCGCAATAGTTTCGAAAACTGACGGGGAATGTGCTCAGCTTTACCGAGGCAGTTCGAGTGCTCTACGACTGTAGATTGGTTAAGTCTGACATATCATCGAAGGATCGGGGGACTCAGTCCCGTGGATACGGCATGCATGGATATGTGTACTCGTGGACGGTGCACGTGCTGAATGAGGTGAGGAATGCCGAAGTTTGCGCAGCTGGCTTGCATGTGCCGACGATCACGGAGCGGGGATTCTGGGTAGTAAAACGGCGGTTGATACAACATGCCGATCGCTGTTTAGAGATAGTTGTGATGAACGGGATACCGATTATGGATGGGACGAGTGGGTTCTACATAGCCTAGGCTCACTTTTCAGAGATCAGGGCCGGCTCAGCGACGCCGAGGCGATGTACGAGTGGGTACTCCGAGGTGTGACGGCTCGGCTCAGATAGTCCGTGATCCTTTGGCCGTCATGTCATATACATCCAATCAGGGCTAAACCAGGAACTGTGGGGCTAGCCTCAAAAGCCCAGCCCGCAAGAGCTGTCGCACCGATTCCTCGTTTTCTCTGTACACTTGAGACCATCTCTCCCTTTATATTAGGGCCTTGGTAGGGGCGAGTGGACACCAACATCGACGAGACAGCAACGGCGCAAATGGAGACCGACTGGGCGGTGCGGATCGCCGTAAGCAGCTCCAGGCGAAACAACAAAGTAGGGATGGGAGGGGTTGTCCGCATCCCACGGTAGACCCCTGGTGGCCCAAAGGACGAGACCTTCAACTTGACATTAGGCATTAGGACGGAACAGAACCCGTACTCAGCAGAACTTTCAGCGGTTGGGCATGCGTTCAAATTGTTGTAGAAGGTCCGGTACCGTAGGATCGTCCTCGCTACCGGCAACAAAGCAGCCGTGTTGACGCTAAAGAATCCACGCCAGCAATCAGGACAGCGATGAATCCGTGAAGCGTATAACGCCATGAAAGCTGTCTAGAAGGCTGGAAATACTATCTAATCGTCTGGATATAACGGCAGCGGAAAACGAGCTCCTCAAGATTGCCAAGGGAAAAGCAAAGGAGGCGACCCGGCGGAATACTATACTATAGGCCCAGAAACCTGGAATGCGGTCGACAACCCCGTATCGCATAGGGCAAGCGGACACTGCCCAAGACCTTGCCGGATAAAGTTGGAACACACTCTAAGAAGGTCGACATCACGCTGCCAGGGAAACACACCCGACTGCCATACGACCAACTGTCACGAAAAGAGGCTAGCGTGCTCGCTCAGCTTAGGACAAGCATTATTGAACTCAACGCATACCTCCATCGCATCCGAGCGGCATCGTCAGACCAGTGTACGTGCGGAAAAGCGAGAGAGACGGTGGACCACTTCATGTTTCGATGCAGACAATGGACTGAACATCAGGCAGAGATGCTTCAATGTACAGATATCCACAGGGGCAACCTCTACTTTTTCCTTCCTAGGAAGAAAGTCGCCCTCTGATGACAAGAACTGGTCCCCGGATATGCAAGCGGTGCGGCCAGCCATACGGTTCGCGATGGCTATAGGCCGTCTGGACGGAGACCAACCATAGACCGGGACAGCATAAACCCATCACCACTAACCCGTGATCACCACTCGAACCACCACCACCAATCTCGTGCGACGCTGAAGAAACGGCAGAAGATTGAGAATATGCAAGAGGAAGGACGTATGGGCTTCAAGAGACCAGGATCCATTGTAGGAAATGTATTAACTAGTCTAGTAGTTAGATGTGGATTAGTTGCCCTTTCGGGTTAAGCCCGCCGGGCGGAATAAATTGTGTGTGTGTGTGTGTGTACAGTTGATTGTCTTCAGTTCAATAGATCTACTGGCCGAAGGCATCGCCCTTTGCGTGCAGTAACTAGCCGTAGCAGGTGTTGTGTGACCCACAAGGCCCAGGCCTCGGTCTCAGCCACCCACCTCCTGTGCCTGGGTTCGCCCACCTTCCACTCCTTCCAATGACAACAACAACAAGAAGAAGAAGAAGAAGAAGAAGAAGAAGAAGAAGAAGAAGAAGAAGAAGAAGAAGAAGAAGAAGAAGAAGAAGAAGAAGAAGAAGAAGAAGAA